ACGTTTCGAAACATCTTTGAAAACGCTTTTTCCAGCTATGTAGTAGCAAGAGAAACTTTCACGAGTTGCGATAAAGCTAAAAGACGCATGGCGATTAAGAATTGCGTCACCTGTCCGACATTTATACGCGATAACTTTTATTGTAAAGTCCGACGAGTCATTAGTGTCGTTGTTTTTATTCGAGGCATGATACCAATGTTAGATATCTTCGATCTGGTGTAAAAAAATGGACACGTCGCACCTTTCATCGTCAGAAACCAATTTAAACCGTTAACCAATTAAACGCATTTCGTGATGAGAATTATTCGATCGGTAGTGACACGGCTGTGAGATTTTCGATGCTATGTAGGTAGCTCGTTTTTCAAATAACAAGTATAACACAATTCTGCACAGTGAACCGATTCGATTGATCTCAATTAATTGTTTTGGGAGCCTCGTTGAAAACAGACTCGTTTGAAATCGAAGAGAAATTGGAGTTGCTTTTTGAAGTCTGTAGCTGGTATAAAAACGAAAAGCGAAAAGAACGAAAATATCCCACGAGTTGCGAGAGTTATCAACGAAATCGAGACGAATTTCTTTGAAATGAAACGGACGATTGAATATGATGCTCGAAAATAATTGTAGGAATCGATGTTTAATGGAGTTACTGAAACTTTCGGCGAAACTCATCGAATAAATAAAGGGCGCGCTGATACGCTGCAATTCGAGGTTACGTTGGAAGAGGAAGTGGTGCATTAATTTCGAGTTACCCCTCGAATTTCCTGCGACCCCCGTACGTGTAACCACTACCAACGACCGGCAGGAACTTGGGAGTAGCAGTTACCCCGAAGTGTTCGGGACGGCTGGTAATTTGTAGGTAGATATACGATAGACAATAACACAGGTGAGGGGCGGCGGTACCGGCTAATTTGTTTATCATAACTTTATCTTGATTTATTGCGCCCTCGATGCACGCCTCGCAACGCCAATCGCGCACGTTCATGCGCTCCCTTCGACGTATTTGCACGCGCATGAATTAAAAAAGGAATTGCCGGAAAAGTGCCGCCTGCTATCTTATTCTTCCACAATCCCTCTGCTCCTTGATAATAATTCGTCCAACATTCGCTTCATTGAAGTAGTCAACATTTTCTGTTAGCCCAAATTCTATTTTAAATACATTCAATCTGACACTTGAATATTTGAAATGACGAACGTCCCGTTTGCAACGTTGATGAACTTTTCTCGAGTCTTTATCCTCGTTCTAATCCTGATTTTTGATCTCCAATTCAACGCTACAAAGCGGTCCGCATTCCAGGCGAAAGATTATAATCAGATTAACGAGCCCAGACACAATTATAGATTCCGCGATTGTTTCATCGCAGGTAAATTATCGCTGGAAAAATGCAGTCACGGCAGCCGCCGACAAGAAAGCAGCGCGACAAGATAAAAACTCGCGAGCCCCGGCGTCGAGCCCGGCGCTCGCATCGAGGAGCTAATTTTTTAAAGAGCACAGCGAAAAGGGGGTGCGAACAGGCGGAGCAACCCCGTCCGCGCTCTATCCCTCCCTTACTTGCCCCGCTGTCTACCGGAGGAAGGTTCCTCCGCGTGCAAGCTCGATCGGTGTGCACGCAAGCTTCTGGAAGAGCTTCGTGGCCGGCTCGTATTTCTCGCCCTCCAACAAGATACCAACCACCTTTAGCCCCATCCTCGAGCTCGCGGACTCACACGTACTCTCACCCTTACATTTCGAAAACGTAGATAACGTCTTTTCCATGTACGTACACACGTGCTTGCTACGTACGCGTCAAAATGTGCGAGTGACTAACCTATGGTACACCTACACGCGTGTTTCCAAAGACGGATGTCGTTGTACGTACGTGTTCATGCATAGTGTGCAACATATATGTATCTGTAGAGGAAAGATACTAAGACATGAAAGAGGGTCTCCTGGTATAGCCGACAACTAACTGCCACGGTGCAAGCCTTGCAACGCTGTGAGTGCTATCTAGCTAACTATCGCTGATCCTTGGCGCGAGACGAACCCACGGGGAGAATAGGAAAGAGAACCGGCGGAAGGGGTGGTCTCCTGCTGGTGGATCGTTTGAAACAGAGCCTGTTACGGAAACCTTTGACGTATCTGTGAAATATTTTGCTCAAATTAACTGGCTTCTTGCGAGCTATTTTGTTAGAGTACATTCTAGTTTCATTTCATGGTTCGGTATATGTATATTAATTCATACACTGATTCCATGATTCTTTCATAAAGAAATGAAGGAAAGTTTGTGCTCTGTACAAAAGTGTAAATAAAACGTTTTAATGAAAAATGAAAAGTCCTTTGACAATAAGCAAGAAAATTGGACGGTACGAAATCTCTTCAGGAATGGTTGAACAGCTCGAATACTTAGGTTCGCTCGCGTGATCATTGTTTTGCTCGTGTCTCACAGGATCTCGTGATGGAAGATATTTAAACGCGGGGAAAGCAATTTTAAAGTCAAACGCCTGGTTTTTTTTACCAACCGTGTAATTTTTGCATGTCACAGAAGTTCGTGGGTGGAGATTGAAACGTGACGAGGTAATAGAGATATTTAAATGTGTCCAAGCGGTGTTAACAAATACAGATAACAACGCTCGATAGGTTTGTAACATGGAATAAAAAGACGAAGAACATCGAGGAGTATAAGAGAACCAGGAGCTTAACGTCCGTTTAGGCTGAAGACTGCACGAGGCCTCCTCAAATATTAGCGGAGGCCCGCGGGGTCCCCTTTGAACTCGAATGCCCCAAAATTTCTATAGTGAATAATCGGAGACAGCTGGCACGATGCGAAATCAAGTAGCGTAATAATGCTCCGAAACGGCAGCATTCAGAGCGGGGAAAAATGAAATGAAAAAGTGAAGGAAAATGCACGGTCTCCCTCGGATTCGAGTATCTCTGCTGTTTTGCCCCCTCTTCTCCTTATTTCAAATATTTACGTAGCAAAAATATCGACCGAAGCTTTCTTCGAATATAAATTTTTATCCCTCACAAAATTGGTTAAAGAGCGAGCGTTGCGAAACAGTTAATTAGGACAACGATGCCTTCGTGCTAATTTACGCGCATTATTTTATTGTTTATAATACTCGTGAAATTAAATGCCCCCAAATTTCTGCTTAACTTCCATTGGCCGTTAATTAACGTATGCATAATAAAAGGGGCTTTTTTTAGCAACGTTTATCTTTTACAATAAAACAGCGAGGTTTAAACGAGGGAGCTTAAAAGGAAGTATGCATAAATGAAGGAGTGGGTCCGGCTAATAAAGCGATATTCTCAATATTCGGAGGGATACGCGACCACATCTCAGCGGTTTGATCGGCAATTAGTGTCGCTGTGTAGCAACGTTCCAGGCGCGGCCTTTCACGAGTTAAATGACACACGCTGCGCGCGCGATAGCTGTATGCTAATCGCACAGGCCCGCTGTAAAATTTGCTCGTCAGCTGCCCCCGTTGCGGCCACTAACAAATTTGACATAATCAAACTCCGATTCCCTCTCTCTCTCTCTCTCTCTCTCTCTCTCTCTTTCCCTGTCTGGCTGTAATTTCACTCGCAACGAATCCACGTATGAATTTCATTGCCTTAATGGCACAAAGGTAAAACTCGTTGATCTATCAGATCCAAGTAACGTAGTGTCGCGGTAATCCAAGGTAAATTAATGTGTTCACGCGTGTACGCATGTTAGGGTATACAGCGAGAAAAGAACGCGGTCTACCTTCCCTCTGATAAAAGAAAAAACCAAGGAAACCTCTGACGGGAAAAAAAAGTGACGGAACCACCCCGGTATCGGGCAGTTTATCCCGCGGGAGGAGCTACGATACAATGAATAAAGAACGAAGCAACTTGGTCGAGTGAGCCCTGTGAACGAGGCCTTATTGGGATATTAATCGTCGTACCAGGCGAACGCCCTGTCCCCGAGTGTTTGCACGAGGTTTGAAGAGGCTGCAACACCAAAGCTGCCTTGCAGCGAAAACCCTCTCCGTAAAACCCCCTCCTTTTAAGCGCAACGAAACACTACAAGACCCCTTCTCCGAGCCCTTCCAACGTGTTCCTCTTTTCGAGCCGTGATACTCGAAAAGCCTAAGTACTACCACGCTCGAATATACTGCTCGTATACTTCGGACACACTCGAACCCCGAGCCACTTAGGTAAGCTTTTGCGTACACGTTAGAGGTAGGTAGGCAAAGGTTGATAGGCGTGTTGCACGAATGCTTCGAAATAATGGGCCGTCGATTGGCCGCGCTTGTTTAGAAAACATAAACGGGGCAAGCTAATTGTTCGCTAATTTCCAGTGCCACTTGTACGGCTGTTCTTCGATTCAATGCGTCACTGTAACAATGCGCCGTGTTTTCTTTCTTAAAGTAGGAATCGTTTACAACGATTTACATACATACATACATATGTTGTTGGTTCTCTACGATAAGCGTTACAGGCTGCTTAGAAATGGTCCTTCATCTTCACCGCGTCCGTCGCGCGTCGCTCCGACGCAAAGCTCAACCCGGGTGGGAATCGTTTAAATAGATACTGGTAATGGTTCACAGTTTGTATTCTGAAGGATTTGCTGATATGTAACTGATTTCTCTGACCGATCAATTTATCATAGCATGACAAAGTTGTTTTCTCAATTTTTCTCTTACAATTTGATGAGTTTGAAAGAGAAAGTCTGTGTGAATGAGATGTGTACTTGTATCCTGAGTTGAACTCGGGAAGGCATTCAAAACGCGTCGGGTGTTTTAATCCATTTAGTTGCCAGCCCGAAGAGGAGAGGTTCTTCTGTTTCAATCCACTCATAAAATCCGGCTAATTGTGCTAAGTCATTCGTCTCATAATCCTCCCCCAATCATCCAATTTCGTGTCTACAGTCTGTCAAAAGCTAACGATTACTAATTTCTTGTTCATAAAACATCGTAACAAGCTTATTACCAATACCTATCAAAGGAATGTCGTGAAAAAGTTCTTAGAGGAAAACTGTAATGAATAAAGGAGTACTTACAGAATCCGTGAAAACGTCACGTGGCCCGTCCTCTCGAACTGGTCTTGGTTTCCCGACGATCTTTGACACTTTCACGAACCTCGCTTTCGACAGACGGGAATCCGAAAAGCAGAGTTCAAGTGTTTTAACGAAACTGCAGTCGACTCTACTTGATCCGGGAGTTCGTTCGTTTCACGCGGCGTTGCAACAATTTTCTTTGGATCACCAATTCGAAGAGGCTTCGGTGTTCATGATGATACGCGACGGCCTTCGGCAGGTCGACATCCATTAGCTGAAAGTCCCTCAAATCGGTAGCCGACATTATCGAAACCACACGATTAGTCCTTCGGCTTTGATTTTCGAATATGCGCCATTACGCTTGACACTGAATCTTTCAACAAATTGATACTTCCGGTTCCTCTATAAGCTTCCCGTTCATCACGCCGCGAACTTGAACTTGAACAGTAACTTCCGATGTCGTAAATAATTTACTCGCCGATCCAACTTGGACAATTCCTATTCTTCATCGTTGCAGAGATTCTTCCATAGAACTATTAGACTAACCGGTTGCCAGAATCGTTACCCATTTCCGGTATCGAATCCGTTCGGTTTCACAATTAGATAGTTTCTGTCTCGAAGGTCGTCACTAACTTTTACAACGTCTGCATGCTTTTAATACTTAGTTCCGTCGAAATAACACTGTGCGCGGATCAACGTTAGCACATTCGGGAGCCAAATGTCGTTCTCACCGGGTGAACCACACGCGGAATCACTCAATGCTTCTCAGTGTCCTCAGTTCTCAGTGTTGATCGGTGATCTGTGGCGAATGATCAACGGAGATCACGAACGATCCGTTGACCGTTGGAGGTGCTGAGGTTGCCGCTGCTGACGTATATGCGGTGGCTGCTGGCGGAACCCAACGATGGTTTCAGCTGGAGACAGAAGGGTGAAGGGAGGTCACGAGTCGAAGGTAACAGCAACCACCAATGGGGCGGTGCCAGAGGCGGAGCAGAGAGCAACCTCGAAGAACGCCCATCTCTTTGCACGATCATAGACTGCAACACCCCAAGGAATGCACCGTCCTCGTCGCACTCCAGTCTCGGCCATCGTTCGTCTTTTTCCGACTACCTTTTTTCTCTCCCCTATTTTTTTCTCATTCAATTGGGACGAAGGCGACACGGAGCGCGGCGACGTTAAAAGTGCAGGGCTCGCGACGGTGAAGCTTCCTTGCTCGCGTTCGACACTCTTCATCGATCCCTCTTCTTCTTTTAGCCAGCCTCCCTGGGATTACGGTCTCCGATCTCGTCACCCTAGCATTTTAGGAGGCGAACAAGGAATCGTGCGACATAATAGAATTCCTCGGCGAAAATAATTTTACTGCGGAAGCTGTGTTTTTATTTGTCGACAGCAGCGATGATTACGACCCTCGCGTCGTCGCGATAAAACAAAATTCGAACTTTCGCAAACTCAGAACTTCGATCCCAGCCGATTTCTACTTCATCCAAAGGAGAAAGCAATTTTTCTGCAAACATGCATTAAGAATAGCTTCCAGAAGTTTGAAACGAAGACGCGCGTTAACCACCGAGCGTACTTAATAAAAAAATATTTGCTCGTAAGAATCCAGCGAAAGGTAAAAGCTGGCGGTGAAATGCATTGAAAAGATTCCCGTGTGCACAGTATGCACGGGCGCGGGATGGGGGGTGGGGAGACTGAGGCCCGACGGCAGCGGGGGTTAAACGAGAAGAGAGACAGTGCGAGGGAGAGAGAAAAAATAGCCCGGATCGAGGGGTCGACGAATAAGCCAGCGAATGAATACCCAGTATGGATTCGTGAGGAGCCAATAGGGCTGCGCGATGTCCTCCCTCGTTCGAGGGAGCCACGCCAATCGTGGGCGTCCGTCACCCTCCGGGCTTTTCCTGAGGGGTTGTGGCTCTACCTGGCTGACTGATAAAGACAGACAAACTTCTGTCTTCCGTGGCAGATCATGCCAGCTTTGCCAGGCAGACGACCTCGCAGCAACCACACCTCCACCTTCGCATCCACTTTCATTCACTTACAACCACTTTCTACTGACGCCAATGCTCCGACGCCTTTTCTTAGATTACACGCCTGTTTCCTCTGCCCTCGTCGCACATCCACTATGTGTGTGATTAACGGATTATGAAACTCGCCGGTGGAACACGGAGGTGCGAGGAGTGGAAAGGAAACGGGAAAATATGTGTTTGTGCGTCGCAGCGTCGACAACTTTACCGGCGATTAAACGATGCGGGGGACGTCATTCGTCAGAAGTCCTAATGCTGGAAGTGGGCTGTATATCGATAAAATATAACACCAAAGTGTATTTCCAATCGTGTCTTAATTTATTCTTCTAAACTCTAAAACGATTACAAGCAGATATTAGGGACACCTTCAAGACATGTACGTCGAGGGTCCGGTAATTAAAAGAAAACTGACCTTGCCGTAATAAACCTGAGCAGGGTCTTGGGCTGAATAAAAAGGTGAGAGATGAGAATTTTTCAACGAGATTAGCGTTTTCTGACAAGCAGATGTAAGCAGTAATGACAATGTTCGTTTGAAAGTAAGGGGCGTTGGATCTTACTGCTGCTATAAGAGTGACCTTAAACGAATCTGAAACTAAAGAATGGTTACACTACATCGTAGAAAGATCACCTTTGTCCCTTCTTCGCTAACCTAACAATGTATTTCCTGAAATAGTGATAAAGAAATGTGGAAAAAATTCAGTTATTTTTAAGTAAGCGCTGGAACATTCGTTTCAGCCATCGGGATTTTTACACGGATATTAAAAAGATTTTACGTAGCATTGGACTAGGAAGGCATTAACTCTATGAAGGGATTTCTAGCGCGCGAGCCACGCGGTATTTACAAACCTTATATTGGCGGAGGTTTTATTCGAGGCTGGAGTGCGAGGGGTATAAAGCTTAATTCATTGTTTGCTTCGCGACGAGTTTGCCGCGGTGCACGTGCCGCGTTGTTACGCTACGAACGTGTCCGAGGCAGTGTCATACGCAAGCACTCGAGAGACAAGAGAAAATTTATATCTCGATATCGGCGATTCTCCGTAAAAACGTGTCCATCGATCACGTTGTACGAAAAACTGTTAAAAAAAAGAGAGAGAGACGTTCGGCTGTTACGCTTCTTGAAACGATCAATTTCAATTTCTCATCTGCATTGTGCGACTTTTATTGTTTGTCAGCCAGCGTTCCACGCGTATTCGCGTTCGTGTCTCGGTCGACCGGAGCAACCGCAGGAGTGTCGACGAGTAATCTCGTTTCCGCTTGGCCCGCGAAGTTAAACTCCGTGGATTGGACCCGACCGGATTGTGTCCACATCTCGTTTCGTTACCCTTCGCCGTTTCTCTTTCCAGCGAACCGTCCGCGGCAACTTCGAAGGGGAGTTACCCCGGACAATATATCAGTTTACAATGATAAAAAGCAAACACGGGAAATAACGCGAGGAATTACTGAACCAAACAATATGTCCCTCGTCTCTGGAGAGACCGGGTATATTTCGACCGAGCAGTCCGGTAGTACCCAATGGAGGGTGTGCCAACATATATTCTGTACAATAATGCGCCATGATTTGGTTTTCTTTCATAACGAGGCGATACGGCCACGGGGACATCGGAAATTGGTTCATTATCACCTGTGCAAATGATTGATATCGAAATTACGGTTACCCTTTGCCCGATTGTACTCTTTCACCGAGAACATCTATCTGAATCTTGCCAAACTATTTATACCCGAAGAGAGCGAAACGATCAATTTCGGCGAAAGGAGAATTTCCCGTTTTAAAGTCCATGCAGTCTCTTTGAGAGGCCGTCACGTTACCTCGAGGGAAAGAGAAACAGAGAGGATGACTAAAAATTGGTATCCTCTAGCTCGCGGGTGTCTCTTGGTGGGTAGCACTCGTGTAAGCAGTGACTAGTGAGGTAAACTCGAGTATCTCCGAGGGGCAACGGGGAAATGGAGGGCTAAGGGGTGAGGAGTAGTCGTCGCTAGTGGGTGTAAGGAATGGAGGGATAGTAGTAGACCACGCTACGTCGCCTACGGGGGTTGAAGGAGGGATGGTTTTTCCTCAGTCTGAGCATTCCGTAGACGATATGCTCGCAGCTTGGCTCACTTCGTCTTGATTCGCATGCGGCTTATACGTTTTCTATACGCACGCACGCCCGTTCCTCGGTCTCTTTTCTTCCTGTTCAGAACCACGATACTCTCTTCCCGTTCTAACTCCGTTTTCTTCCCTTTCCGTCTTCCTTCTTCTTTCCTCTTTCTCTCTATCTCTCCGGCTGGCGTACACGCGGGCCACCGGCAAGAAGTAGACAATTCACAATTAGCAAACACAAACAGAAGTACGAGTGGCTTCAAGTTGCTTGGGACGTGGTGGCAACGGGCTTAGCCGGAAGCAAACGGTAGGGTAGGGACTTCTGGGATGCGAAGCGACTAGCTTGGCAGTCCCTGAGCGTCAGCCTCCGCTCCAGAATACTCTTCTCAACTCCCGGCCCGACAGAGACCGGCGAAGGCGCGTGTATGTTCTGAGGATAACGGGTGTGCCTACTTTCTCATATATGCAGCTCTTCCGTTTCTCAAACGAATCTGTTCGACTCGTTTGTAAATATATTTAATGAGTTCGCTCATCAGTATCGGATATATTCCAATTATGCTTCCCTTATGGAGTCGTTCATTTTCAGATTCTTCAGTTGTTGACTCTAATAGTTGATCAAGATACATGAAATTGCGAGCTGAAACATTTTCAGGTTCGATTCGTAAACTTACCCTGCCGACGGCGGCAGGAAACATTCCAGAACCCCGTCCCGGAATGGTACTTCCTTCGATTGATCAATTGTATGATTTACTGATTACCGCCTGAACGTACACCCGGTATACACGCGCATTGGGCTCTCACCGTTGCGTTGGAACACTTGAAGCCCCAACCAGTTACGGCAACAATAGGCTTTGTCTTCGCGCCGTCGGCGCTCGCAAATTGGTAGAAATCTTGATTAAAGGTGCAATTCCGCTGCTGCCTACGGACAAATATGAATTGCACCCCCAATGCTCCCACCCTCTGTACCCCTTCCGCCCCTGCCTCTCGCCACTTTTTACCGTTCCGACAAATGAAAATGGAAAAAACGTGTTGTGCTATACTTCTTACGGCGCGACAAGTCTGCGGCTTTTCAAGGATCAAGATTGGACTACCCCTTTGAAATCAGACACTACCACATCAAGAATATTATCGCTGCTAAAATGAGATCGTAATCGTTTCCTCTCACAGTGCAGTTGGTCTCCTTTCCATTTTCTCGCTTCTTCCACCGATATCAAGGAAGTATACGTATTTATTGGGCCAACGTATCTGTCGACACGCGCTGATTCGATTTCGTTCACGGTTCTGTAAAGATAATCCGATTGTGAGATTACACGGTGATTCGCATGGATCGAGCATGATCCCGGCAATGGGAAAGATGTGTATAGAAATGAAATAATAACGCGCGTTGTATATGACAGATGCGACGAGACCACTTGCGATAATCCGCCTTCGGCTTATCCCTTTGCCTACAGTAAATACGAGAATTGGCCGTCTGGAGCGCGTGACCCATCAGAAATTGCTCATTAACGTTCTGTACGCGTGAATGTATTTAGTAAATATGTAATTCCATTTACAAAAATCGACAATCATTTTCCTGTTTCGTATTTGGGAGTTGATTCTTTTTATTTGCAAATCGAAGTTTAAAAATCGGTAGGTCTTGCCTATATCCAATTGGAATCCCCTCGATAGACTCTCGCATCAATAGACCCTGAAGACTTGAACGTGTTCATGCTCATCCCGTGCAGAACACACATCATGAAACTGAGTCAATTTACATAACGATAATTGAGATGTACATAAAAGGCCGTTCTCGAATCACAGCAATACCACATCTACAAACGGGCTTTGAATTTCGAAAAGGGTACATATCGATATTCTCTGCTCTCGTGTATCGCCTCGATGTTAAACTGAGCATTACAGTCTTTATTGAAATTAATTTTTCCAAGACGATAATCGTTTTGCATGGAATATAAATTTATGTTCATTCATAGATTATTTATTTTGAATACATTTCTGTTTGATAAAAGTTTAGTAAATTTTTTTGTCTTCAGGCCAAGCCTACTTCATTACAAACCACAAGACAAGGTATTACAAATCACAAGAAAAATTGTAGAGTAACGCAATCTAAGAATAAAACTAAAAAATAATTCACATTTGTCAGTCTATGAATGCCAGCTGATGATACGTACGAGTTATTTTTTCAATTATAAAAACTATGCAATCTGTGTATGTTATAACATCATACCACTGAAGAGATACTGCTAAAGTGCCCATGTAATTGTTGGGATAGCGAATGAGGTTCAATGGGGTTGAAAATACAGTTGGTAATCGCATCGAAGAAGTCGGTAAATGGTTGACACACGGACCAGTTTGACACCGTAGGCAATAGATAAATGTAGGATGCCAGCATTATCGATCTTATACCGGGATGTCCTTGATGCTACATCCGAGGAGAGATTACTAAAGAGTGGCAACGCCTGTGTTAACGCGCGGCCCGAAAAAAGGGCCCAAGAGGGCTCGAACCGGCAAGGTAGATTCATGAAATCCCACAGAATGACTGTTCCGGAGTGTACCGACCTTCAGGCTCACCGATGCCGGTGCCGATGCTTTTTTCCAGCACGATAGGTAATAGGTAATCGTAGAACGTTGATATTATCAACTTTATACTTAATTCAAGATTCGTACTTCGGAAAGAGAATAACTATCATTTTCAAATTTTGTCACACTTGTATTACTTTATTTTCATTAGTGCACACCATATTTTGCATTTGAAGTAGGAATAAAAGTAATTGGCATTTAATATCTCAATGAATATCAGTGTTTAATTGAAATTAGTTTCTGAATTGTTGTTATATCCACAAAATAGCGTAATTCGTTATATACATTGTAGAAACAGAATCTTCAATGTTGAGTTCATGGTAAATCTTAAACATTGTTGTTCATGTTGGTAATACAAAAGTGGAAAATTAAGTTTTTCATGGAGTTATTGGATAATAGTTTTAAATTCTCGTATTTGCTACCACTACAGCCGCTACAGCCTACTTTAATACATAGCCATGCTGAGAATGAAATGGCAACACTGCGGGGGTCCGAATTTCCTGTAGTGCAACCATAGCTGACTCTTTGACTCTCTTCTTGCCACCACAGTCGGTTGTGGTTGCACTACACGAAATCTGGACTCTCGCGCTGTTGCCATTTTATTCTCAGCATGGCTATGTATTAAAGTAGGCTGTANTTATATAACAGAGTACCATTAAAGAAAGTGGCGATTATGGTCTGTGGATAGGGACACTCTAATAACGCATTCAGGTTCATGGCATGTTTCAAACAATTCTGAAATTCTACAAATGCGTGCACTATAGATCTATTAAATATTTTCTGATCCGAAAGCAATTTTTCATCTAGTCTAAAATGAGAAATGAAAAATGGTGCGGCTAAGTAACAGTCCTCAGAGTCGATTGCGGTGTAGGCTTCAATAACTGTACCATTCGTCGTGTAGTACGGCTGATAATTATTCGCTCTTTTCTGTTTTATAGCTTCAATTACTTGACCCTTTCTCTTTTCAAAAGTGTCGGTTGTTCTGTATAACCCGATCTTAGAATCTATTATATGAAATATCATACCAATGCATATAGCGTATACATTAGATTTATGGAATACAATAGGTTCTTGCTCCCTTATCCAGTATTTAATACATCCAAAATACAACCTCCACTCTGGTGGAAGCTCCTTTATACCATCTGCATCGTTAATCCCCAAAGTTTCATTTAAAATCTCCCTTCGTAAACTTAATGGAATTTCTCTAAGATTGGTTAAAGATGGAAGTTTACAACAGTTTACTGTCTCTATGCATTGTAATTCACGTATTACAATTCTATTTTTATCTCTGATCACGTACCTCATGTAACGTACTTCGTCATTTATCGCTGATTTTAGAAATCCAAAAATAACGCTAACGATCTTTAAACTTATTATACTGCTCGAAGGATAATCATCATTTTCAATTTGTATAGGACATATATACAATCTGTGAACTATTAAGTCTATGAAATACGATGGAAGTTTGCCCAGATGATATTCGTTTACGAACCATTCCGGCAAATTACTGATGGCTTCATTTTGTGGCAATGATTCGTTTATTGTGCTCATTACTTCAAATACATCGTAATCTTCCTCCATGCGGACCTCGTCCTTTTCTCCTTCATAAGCTTGTTTTATGCATGTTGAAATACTAATGTCTCCATCAAATTTAAAACTTCTGCTTAAATGTTGCGTCTTTACACGAGTGATGTAATCTGTTGGGAATCTTAATGGTATAAGTATTTCAGCTGATGTCTTTATATAATTGTTAATAATGTCCTCTATTAAATTCAACATGCTTCGTCGCGAAGGTTCGGGTAATGTGATTAAAATCCTGGTAATAGCTGTATTCAAGGTGTACTTGCTTAGCCACGTAAAAGTTGCTGTAATCATGCTCTCTCTATATTTTCTTCCTGGTATTTTTTTTATGTCCATGTGACGAAAGAAGTTCGTGAATGTTCCACGTTCAACATAATCGTTACCTAATAAAATTGCTGCCAATGGTAACATCGATTCATGCAAACCTCTAAATGAATTTAGTAAATATTCAGCTTTATAAATTTTACAACGTTTTACATATCCTTTCCCCCTTGAATGACTAACTACACAAGTATCCAATGTGTTAAATGGTATGTACTGTGATCCATATATATAAAAATCCGAGTCGTAACTAAGTACAGGACAATTTAAGATCTTTGCTACTGCAGCTATCTCATTATCAGCTTCAAATAGACACTGTGCGTGTCGAATGTTCTTCTTTATCATCACACTTCTGAACACATCAACTTGTAATAAGGGGAAAATTTCTGTTCTATGTTGACCGGACAGAGAAAACCGCGAAGCTGATTGCATTCTCTCTTTTCTCCTTACTATGCTTTTCCTTAATTGTTTATCCTCGTTGGCACCATCAATCAAAACCAACGGTGTTATGCGACATTTTAATAGATCGTCGAAAAAGATTGATACAGCACGTGCATAACTATCATAATCGCCGCCGAATGCAGAATTACATCTTGCGTCCATATATAACTTAAACATTCGACAACTTATGTTGATACCATCGATCACTAAATATGTATCATGTAATTCATAATTCCGCAAGTAACGATCGGAATGATCATGTATGTACGTAGTTAGTCCAGGAATTCCCATTTTGAATATTGAAACTTATGCACGCTAGTTTGAAATAACTAAATAGTTTCGCTCTAACACTGTAGGATAAATTGCGGAGGAAACCTTCAATAGATAAGAATCTATTATTATAAGATACCAGGATTCCTCTAAGAGTGATGATAGTGATGATAAATAAGATAATGCGTGAAAAGAACGTACCACACGATCATAGTAGGCGGTTATCAACTTTCTAACAAAGTTTTGTTAGCAGCTGATGAGATTTCTATTGCCGGTAACAATATTATCGACTCTCCTTCTTCTTTCGCCGCTGCAACGGATGCTCCTCCTACGTTTCCTAAAAAATTTAATACGCATTACTCAAAAGCAAAAATTAAAATACATGAATTCCGATGAATTAAAATCCGAAATTCCAAGGT